CTACATAAACACATAAACTGGTCTAACATACACATATACGCATACAGTTGGTATAGGAAAGGGTTAAAGCTTCACTCAGTACAGAGAAGAGAAATAAGGAATGAAATTATGGAACCATTTGCATATTCAGCAGATTTACACCTGAGGGAAAAGTCAGATTCTTAGTTCAAACACACCTTTGTAACAAGGTGAAAATGATACCTAATGTATCAATTAATAAGACTAAGTTTGGATAATGGCAAGTCTCGTCTGTCTGAAAGAAAGGCTTGATGCAATCTGAAAGTCCCAGTGATCTTTGCTGAAGTTGGTTGATGAAAAAGAACCAGTTTGAGTCAGAATCTTGTTGGATGGAAAAGACAAGGCCGAAGCCTGGGACGTACTTAGGGGGTTACAGAAGCATTCTAGCTCATGTCTTCATCTTAGAATCTAACCGAACCACCGAACCTAAGCGGGTCCCTGGAGCGGGGCCTTTAAGGTCTCGGAAGAGTCCAATGAGAAAGGCAGAAATTCCAAGCGGGAGGTTGCAATTGCTGGAGGGTTTACGACCCTTTGTTTGAGGGCATGGTAATTTGCAAATGTAGCTTGGATCAAAATTACTAAAAACTCTTAGAACACTAATATGTTGCGTAGGTGTAAACATACAATATACAATCTCAATTAGATCATCCGAATACGAATGAATCGAGACCAAACACGTTATATGTAAGGTTACATGGATGAGTGGTTCTATCCTAAACATGCATAAAATAGTCTACAATACAACAGATAATATACAAGACAGCAATAATATACCCAAGGACCTGAAGGCTATGTGTGTTCATTCAAATTAAAGTTTTCCTATGAATTAATTAGTAGAAAAGTCCATTCCTACTGTGCCTTGGGGATTTTCCTTATGAAAAGACAGTGCTTTTCCCTGCTCACATTCCATGAGGTCGTAAAAGTATCTGGTGTCAGGGTTGCCATGGTTTGGTGTCATTTGCAGACATCCTGGCATCCAGTTTATTAGGTGAGGGGACTGTGGCGATTTGTTAATCTAATGAAGAACTGATTTGTTAAATCAAATGAAAAATTGTGTGTTTGATTGGTCCAGACGCTACAATGCATTTTATGAACACTTGAATGTGGGCAAGTTTCATAAAAAAAGCAACATTTTGAACAACATTTTTTTTGTCTGGATCGTATTCAGAACAATGATTAAAACATAGATGGAATAGATCGCTTCCATCAACTCCTCCAAAGTTTGCATGAACCACTTCCTGGGTCGACATTTCATTTAGTAACATTAGGCAGTTTTGAATTATATTCTGTTTCATGTCTGATGATTGTTTAATTTTACATAAGCATCTGCTTAAATATGCAATCTCTTGTTTCTGCTGCTTCTTCGTCGTGTTTTGATCCGGGGATTCTATACTCTTTCATAAGATGTCTAATAGCGCCTCCTACCGTATAACAGTGAAAACATGGAAAGCCAGAACATTCCATCAATGGCAGGGAAGCATCGTCTCATAAATGATGGAAAATTCTGTCAATGGCGTGGAAAGGGTTATTAATTTGGACATTGTAAATGGTACAACAAGGGAACTAAGTGCTAAAAATTGTTAATGAAAATTGTAAACAATGAATTTCGTTAGCAGTGACAACACTTTAAATGAGCAAAAACTATGTAGATTTAGGCTTTAAAGGTGGGGTAAGCGATTTCTGGTAGCCAATGTTGACATTTGAAATCACCAAAACAAACACACCCTTACCCCAAAAGGGTCTCGCCCCTATTTTGCTCTGCCCCACACATATGTACGTAACCCAGGCAACGATTAGTTCTGTGAAACAAAGCAAAACCAATGTTACACCCACAAATTTTAAATGGTCGATTTGTCGCGTCCAGTGTATAAGACAGACTTTAGCTGTTACGGTGCAGTGTTACTCACCTATCGAGAAGAAATAAAGCAACCTCAGCATCAGATCGCAGGCCTTCTGCTCCTTGATTTCGCTCCAGCGCTGGAAAGCTGATCCAATATTTACACGGGTCCTACTTCTTGCCATAAGCCTTCTTTTGTTCCACAGACGTTTTCCTCTTTTGTTTTTTTATCCGCCATCTCTTTTTCTGTCGCTCGGCTAATGTCCGTCCTGTGCACTGAACTCTCTCCTCCACATCATGAGTAGACACGCCCCTTACTGCTGATTGGCTACAAGTTTGTTTTGCTAGTCGGCCCGAATCGGTTTTCTAAAGCGTTTTTGAAAAATCGTTTACCCCACCTTTAAATTTAACCATATTAAACGAGGTGTTGCTAAATGCTTTGGAAAAGTAGAACACTTGGCACCAATACAGTTTTTCCAATAAAATACAGAAATGAAGATACTCAATTCATTTACAGTTAATTAAAAAATGACTAACTTGAAAGACATTTTAAAAATTGCTGTTTTAATTCTACCAAGGAGCAAAAAAATGTCATGACTTCCCCAAATGAACCAGCTACAGTTTAAAATCAGGTCACAGGCATGGTCCATTTGGTTTAACATCTGAATGATTTGTCTCAGGAGTTTGGCTGTAAAATTAGTTTCGGTATAAAATTTCATCAGCTGTAGTTTGTCATAAAACAGTGACTGACATGTTTTGAAGCAAGTGGTTTATTGCTCCCGCCAGCTTAAGTTTGTCAGCCACCTGCCATTTCTCATGTGATGTCATTGTCATTTTGAGAGGGTATTAAAAAGATGACTAATCTTGAGTCATTGTTTAGTCTGAAGTATTTTGCTATTCTTTCCATCACAGGGCATTCAGTTCTACACACAGATCAAAACTGTTACCTCGCAGTGGAAGGCAGAAGATGCTACGCTGAAGTCCCCCGCCGTTACCATGCCAACAATGGGACGTTAAGTATCAATTAAATTTCACCCTGGCCCCCAAAATCGTCAACAATACTTTTAACTACTGTACAGATGGATATTTTCAAACATACTGTCATATGTAGTTAAGTAATTCCAAAAATTATTTTTTTTTCTTCCACTGTTCAATAAGTTGGAAAAAAAATGTAACAAATGTAGCATGTGTTGCTCTAGACCACTGTATGACACATTTGTCAAATGGTTTGCCATTCTTACCCTGAAATAGCCGAAGTTTGTGTTTCAGAAAATGACTCCACATTCAACACTAAATTTAGTTTGTGTTGACAAGCTGTATTAAGTCCGTAAAAAGTTTGAGTGCTACAACTTCTACTATCTGTAGCTTGCTACAAATTTTAAATGGTCGATTTGTCGCGTCCAGTGTATAAGACAGACTTTAGCTGTTACGGTGCAGTGTTACTCACCTATCGAGAAGAAATAAAGCAACCTCAGCATCAGATCGCAGGCCTTCTGCTCCTTGATTTCGCTCCAGCGCTGGAAAGCTGATCCAATATTTACACGGGTCCTACTTCTTGCCATAAGCCTTCTTTTGTTCCACAGACGTTTTCCTCTTTTGTTTTTTTATCCGCCATCTCTTTTTCTGTCGCTCGGCTAATGTCCGTCCTGTGCACTGAACTCTCTCCTCCACATCATGAGTAGACACGCCCCTTACTGCTGATTGGCTACAAGTTTGTTTTGCTAGTCGGCCCGAATCGGTTTTCTAAAGCGTTTTTGATTCCACAGACGTTTTCCTCTTTTGTTTTTTTATCCGCCATCTCTTTTTCTGTCGCTCGGCTAATGTCCGTCCTGTGCACTGAACTCTCTCCTCCACATCATGAGTAGACACGCCCCTTACTGCTGATTGGCTACAAGTTTGTTTTGCTAGTCGGCCCGAATCGGTTTTCTAAAGCGTTTTTGAAAAATCGTTTACCCCACCTTTAAATTTAACCATATTAAACGAGGTGTTGCTAAATGCTTTGGAAAAGTAGAACACTTGGCACCAATACAGTTTTTCCAATAAAATACAGAAATGAAGATACTCAATTCATTTACAGTTAATTAAAAAATGACTAACTTGAAAGACATTTTAAAAATTGCTGTTTTAATTCTACCAAGGAGCAAAAAAATGTCATGACTTCCCCAAATGAACCAGCTACAGTTTAAAATCAGGTCACAGGCATGGTCCATTTGGTTTAACATCTGAATGTTTTGTCTCAGGAGTTTGGCTGTAAAATTAGTTTCGGTATAAAATTTCATCAGCTGTAGTTTGTCATAAAACAGTGACTGACATGTTTTGAAGCAAGTGGTTTATTGCTCCCGCCAGCTTAAGTTTGTCAGCCACCTGCCATTTCTCATGTGATGTCATTGTCATTTTGAGAGGGTATTAAAAAGATGACTAATCTTGAGTCATTGTTTAGTCTGAAGTATTTTGCTATTCTTTCCATCACAGGGCATTCAGTTCTACACACAGATCAAAACTGTTACCTCGCAGTGGAAGGCAGAAGATGCTACGCTGAAGTCCCCCGCCGTTACCATGCCAACAATGGGACGTTAAGTATCAATTAAATTTCGCCCTGGCCCCCAAAATCGTCAACAATACTTTTAACTACTGTACAGATGGATATTTTCAAACATACTGTCATATGTAGTTAAGTAATTCCAAAAATTATTTTTTTTTCTTCCACTGTTCAATAAGTTGGAAAAAAAATGTAACAAATGTAGCATGTGTTGCTCTAGACCACTGTATGACACATTTGTCAAATGGTTTGCCATTCTTACCCTGAAATAGCCGAAGTTTGTGTTTCAGAAAATGACTCCACATTCAACACTAAATTTAGTTTGTGTTGACAAGCTGTATTAAGTCCGTAAAAAGTTTGAGTGCTACAACTTCTACTATCTGTAGCTTGCTGGCTCTTCTGAACTGTTCAACTAGCATAATGTCTTGTTAAATATGAATGTCTATATAAATATGCAACATTCGTGAACCGTTGTTGAATAGAAGACTGTTTTGGGCTGTTTGCCTCAATAAACTAAAAAAAATGAATTTGTTCTTATCTATTTTAGGGTACATTTAAACGACAATGATGTGCTAAAAATGGAAAAGTTTTCCCTCTGCGTTTTTCATGTACAGACAACAACATTGTCAAAACGATCCACAAAAATTACTTAAATGCTGTAGTATGCCAGGCCAGTAGTTGACAATGTCACTTTGTAAAGAAACACTATGTGAACATGTAATATGAATGCGAATTATGTCACCGTTTTACGCAAATTTGCGTTTTGTAGTTTACATGGAGGCGATATCCGTGTAATTTTTAAAAACTTGTACTTTATCACCTGCTTTTAAAAGTTAGCATTTTCAATTCCCCAAAGCGCCATCGTTGCATAAATGAACGGCCAAAATTAGCAAAAAGTCTTCAACTAAAATTTTTTGTTGAAAATGGTGTCGTGTAAATGTTCCCTTAGTAGCACCTGCTAAGGCAAGTATCACTATTTTGCTTGCATATCCCCAACTTATATATATATATATATATACACACAGTGGGTACGGAAAGTATTCAGACCCCCCTTACATTTTTCACTCTGTTATATTGCAGCCATTTGCTAAAATCATTTGTTATTTTTTTTCCTCATTAATGTACACACAGCACCCCATATTGACAGAAAAACACAGAATTGTTGACATTTTTGCAGATTTATTAAAAAAGAAAAACTGAAATATCACATGGTCCTAAGTATTCAGACCCTTTGTTGTGACACTCATATATTTAACTCAGGTGCTGTCCATTGCTTCTGATCATCCTTGAGATGGTTCTACACCTTCATTTGAGTCCAGCTGTGTTTGATTATACTGATTGGACTTGATTAGGAAAGCCACACACCTGTCTATATAAGACCTTACAGCTCACAGTGCATGTCAGAGCAAATGAGAATCATGAGGTCAAAGGAACTGCCTGAAGAGCTCAGAGACAGAATTGTGGCAAGGCACAGATCTGGCCAAGGTTACAAAAAAAATTCTGCTGCACTTAAGGTACCTAAGAGCACAGTGGCCTCCATAAACCTTAAATGGAAGACGTTTGGGACGACCAAAACCCTTCCTAGAGCTGGCCGTCCGGCCAAACTAAGCTATCGGGGGAGAAGAGCCTTGGTGAGAGAAGTAAAGAAGAACCCAAAGATCACTGTGCCTGAGCTCCAGAGATGCAGTCGGGAGATGGGAGAAAGTTGTAGAAAGTCAACCATCACTGCAGCCCTCCACCAGTCGGGGCTTTATGGCAGAGGGGCCCGACGGAAGCCGCTCCTGAGTGCAATACACATGAAAGCCCGCATGGAGTTTGCTAAAAAAACACCTGAAGGACTCCAAGATGGTGAGAAATAAGATTCTCTGTTTTTTTTTACTTGTATATTTAAGCTATTAAACTTAGGCAATCTGCAGATCTAGTGGGCCAATGAGGTCAGGTGATGGATCATGATTCTTGGGTTTAAAAGATCTTATGATGTGATTCCTTAACAATCCTGTTTGGGAGACAGCACTCTGTAGTATGCCATTAATTATGGTGAACCAGCACAGAGAAGATGCAAAGCTGAGATAAATTAGTCTGGATCTTCATCTTACAGCTTGACTGCTCTGTCTGCTAAACAACCAACCTCAGATTGAGTAAATCTTGGAAACACTTTGTAATTTGCATGGCGTCCTCTGGCATGCTAGTGTCTAACCCTGGATGGCTGGCACCCTTGGAAAAAGCTGACAAAGCCAAGAGATGGGCTGGTTTCTTATGTGGGCAAAGAAAAATGCAGAGACAACATAAAACGGTTTTAACTGTGGGGAGGATATGCATTACCTGTTATTCCACTGGATACTAAACGTGTCTACATGTCAAACTGTTGAATCCAATAGCCTAATAACTAAAGCATCAGTGACAAATGTTCAATTACTAAAGTCTAGTATGACAAAAATGAAATGTATTTTGTAATTTACTCTCATTTCATTCCAAACTTCCAGACTTGACATAAAAGTCAATAGGGTCCAGTAGCGTTTTGGACCTCACTAACTTTCTTCAAAAAAAGTCATACAGGTTTGAAATGACAAGAGGGTGAATAAATAATAACAGTTTTAAGTGAACTATCACTCTGTGAGTAAAACTAAAACTAGGTATAGAAGGATACCACAGGGGTGTGACATACTGTAATCTATAAATTATGTTTCTGCAAACTCATCCCACAGGATTTACATGGATAAACCCAGAAGGTAGTTTCACCTCAACAACTTCATAACGCAATAAACAAACATTTCTTGTTTAAAACTAATTCATGTATGTGCTTTAAAAAAAATGCAAGCTTCTCATTTCTGCTTCTAAATGCTTTGACCTGCTAGGCTTCCACTGCTACAAAGTACTGTTTGACCATAAATGCGTTTTCCATTCCTTTTTACAAACTGAAGGATGTCAAAATTATTTTCTTTAGTAATCAACCACCACTGAATAACCAAGAATATTCCTTGACTAGTACATTAGTGTCCGCAACTTAAAGGCCAGCATGATCTACTTATCGTATCCTGCTTCCTCTAGATATCTATCAATCATTTAAAAGTACAAAACGTGCGTGTGAAGATAAGTGGCATGCTCAAACTCTGCATGCAGATGTTTCTTGCGCTGGGTATGTGAAGGCCAGTGCAGCCCTATTTTTAACCTCAACTCCTGGTTTCGACTTACTCCTCTACCTCTATTCAGCTAAATGGACTGTCAAAGCCAACTTTGCTTCATGTCACCCTTACATTTACCCTTAAAAGAGAGGGTTACTTAAAGAGAACCCAGAAGGAAGTGGGAACGGCAGTAGGCCTACATTAACTAGGATTGAAACTGAAAAAGTCAGATGCATCTTTTAAAAAAGAACATGGTTTTGGCATTCCAGCTAACATTGTGCGAACGATTTACTTAAAATGAGGTGACGAATTAATAAGTTGAGGGAATGAATTGTTAATTCATGGACACAATATAAATATTTTTCCCCGCATGTTATGGCTACATTCGAATACGCATACTTCTCTACTATATAGCGTGCAAAAAAAACAGTATGTGAACAGTAGTATGTCCGAATTCACAATATTCATA